TTATCAATATTAGGACATCCAATTTTTTATATTTTAAAAAAGATTAAACGGAAAACAAACTAAACTTATGTTTTTTGTCTTTTTAAGAGGTTATGATAACTTTGAAACAAATTCGGTAAAAATATACTATCTGTTTAAAATAGTGATAAGCTGAAAGCAGCCTAAATAGCTTTCAATAGGGGTTCAGGTAAATCAACTATGTGATATTATTTTTAATAAATATGCAGCCAAATAAACTGGTGGTAAGAGCAAAATGTACTGATATAGAAAAATGTCCAAAGTATATTATTAAGTAAAAAAGGCAACAAAGGGGGGGTGCGGAGCGAGAGGTTACGTAACAGTATGGTAGAAAAGTCCTGTTTTTAATAGGACTTTTAAAAGTCTAGAAAGTTAAGCACCAAAATTGTAATAATGGCTATTTCTGGCCAACAGTACTAAATGTGAACTATTTTCTTCTTTATTCTGTTTAATGAACACTTACTACTTTGATAATCAGATTTTAAAATAGTCAACTTCAAAAACGTGCCCTGCTGATAGATAATAGTTCATCATAAGAGTATATAATCACTATTGAATCAAATACATTTGTGAAAACATACCAAATGCCAACTTTGAGGAAAAAAAAAACCTCATTTTTTTCATCTAGACAAAAAATTCCAAGTACTTAGGGACTTGGGGGAAATGTCACAAAGCAGTGGGCAGTTATCATTGCAAAAAGCATTTAAAAATATATTCTGGGAATTTTAGAAAGAAGAGTACTGAATCATGGAACCATTCTATTGAGAAGGTCCTTAAAGATTATCTAGTCAAAATCTTTCATTAAGCAAATAAGAAGAGTTAGATCCAGACAGCTTAGGTGAGTCCACCAAGATCACAGAGTATATTACCGGCAAAATCTATAAGTATTTATAATTCAAAACTTACACCTTTTAATTCCTTTCTCAATTTCTCTGCGTTAAGATATTCTGTAGCATGTCACTTCTACTTAGACTATAAAATTTATTGCTGGAGAAGATACCCAAGAAAAGGCAAATGTTCATTTTACCAGTTTTCTTATCATCTGACCATAAATTAGAAATATTGTAATATTGTGAAACAGAAAGACTCCCTCTCTTGGTTAAATATAGCTTGTGAGTTTCATGATAAGAACGTTTTGACAAATAGACATATGTTATACTGTGATAAGTAGGAGCTGGCAAACTTTAGTATTGATAGACTTTGAATATCTGAAAGTCAGAAAGAAAAAAGTATTACTGAGTTTAAAATTTAAACTGTGCTATAAGCTTTTCATATCTGAGTTGTTGGGTTCATTTGACATATCATACTTTGATTCACTAAAAGAAAGTTTATTCACTTTCTTTTAGAGGAGTTTTGAAAGGGCCTCCTTTTAAGTCAATTTTAAACCTACTGTGTTTTAAACATAAAAAGTTTTCATTCCTTAAGCCATAATTAATATTTATAGACTTTGATACTTTACCCACCAGAGGGAGCACATACGGATTTCCACGAAACAAGAACTCTCAAACATCAAGTCTACATGAATTCAACAATCATGTTATTTGTAATATAATCAATATTATAAAATCATTTTATATTATATTTCTATCCCCAAAAAGAGAAAAGTTAAATAAGATCAGATACATAAAGTCCTTAACAGAGTTCCTGATCTACAGCAGAAGCTCAAAAAATGACTGATTTTCCAAAATTTGTATCTTCCTGCATATTAGTTACAGCGCTCAAAATAAATGAACACACTGGTATTCTGACTTACAATACAAGCTGATGTGAGCTTGGTTGATGCCTGCCCTGACAGATGGTTCTATCCTCACTATGTAGACACATCTGGTTCTTGAGCCTACAAGATGAAACCAGCCCCTGGACAGGAAGAATTCACTAAAAATGTCACACTGAGAGGACCTGTTTCAGCAGCCCTACCCTAGGTGATATACCGTACTGTTGGTCACCTGCTAACAAGGAAGTAAGGAAGAGGGAACGCTTTGACACATTCCAGGTTCTTCTTGGAATGAAGGAGAAAACCAACTGGCTATCCTTGAGGAGAATCAGGCTTCTACAACATGAGATATGATCATTAGCACCAAAACGAGTTTCTTTCAAGAATAAAGAAGGCACAGCTGAGCAGAACGGGAGAGAACCTGGTACCAAACCGGGCCTCCTGAGTCTCTATCCCCTGGAACTTCTTGCCACCAAAAGGCCTAGCCGGTGTTTGCTGGACTTGTGAGGCAGGCCTCAATCTCCACACAGGTGGCTGGACATATTTACTAGGTATCTATTTTGTACTCGACTTTCCCCAAGAACTAAATATGGCAAAGTTGAAGGACCCCACTGGGTTCCAGCTGTGGTCTCCAATCCAGGTTTATTAGGAAGCACAGCTACTGGGGAGTTACCCACCACTTGCTGTCTTAATAAAACTCCAATGTCCACTGGCTCCTTGGACCTACTGTCTGCTATTTAGAATTGAGAAGGTATGAGTAACTGGCATCCTGCTCTAACTCTGAAAAACATATGTTATTGTGATCTACTACAATTTTCCAACCAGAATTATTCTACCTCTTCCTCTTTCTAACCACGCTAGTTAGTTACTAAGTTATACTAAGTTTGTTGCGTCTACTGACTAAACACTAAATACCTACTTCATCAACCCTTTCTTGTCCAACCCTACTGGCACTGGCTCCTCAGCTTTCACCTGAATCCCTGCAACAGCCTCCGACTAGCTCTCTGCACCAGTCTCACTACACTCCAAACCCATCACCAATACTGCTACTGATTATTTTAAAACACAAATATGATCCTTTCATGCCTCTGCCTGCATAGCCCAGAGCGTAAAGTCCAAGCTCCTCAGCACTGCTGACAATACTCAAATCTAAGAGCTGGCAAACTTTTTCTCTAAAGGGCCCGACAGTAAATAGTTTAAGCTTTGCAGGCCTTTGCAGGTTATAACTCTGCTACTGTAGAATGAAAGCATGCTTGGCCTATATGTAAACAAACGAACATGATGGCATTTCAATAAAACTTTATTTACACAAACAGACAGTGGGCTGGATTTGGCCTGCTCTAACCCACTCCAGCACAGCCTCATCTCCCAAAACCACCCAGGCCTCCTCCAAAAAAGGGCTCCAGCCAAACCAGTCTTGCCTCTGCTCCCCCAATCACCCTACTGTTGTGTACCACTGCCTTTGCTCACACTCTCCCCTTTGAGGGATGTGATTTTCCCTCCTCCTAGGTGTGGTGGGAGGTTTCTGTCCTTTAAGGCCCAGTTTGATGATCACGTTCTCTCTGAGGATTCTACTGAGGTTTCCACCTAAATCCTGAGGAGACTGAGTTATTCTTTCTCTGTATTTTCAAAGAGCAGGGACATATGCCTCCTAGTTTTTAATGTCCTCACAATGCCTGACACACAACAGATGTTTGATGCTTACTGGATGATGGAATAAATCAATTACTGAATAAATATAATTTCAAAAGCTGCAGTCCTCCTAAGTCCTAGGCAAAATTCAGAATTGCAGTCCACAGAAAGGGCTCACTATTAATCTTATGAAAAGTCTCCAGTGCTGAGTTCTGCGCACAGTATACAACTTGGTTATTGCAATCCATAAACACACAGCATCATGAAGCTAAAAGAGGCCTTAGAGAGCATTAATGCAGTGGTTTTTAAACTGTGTGTCTCTGAGTTCTCTGGTTGGTTCCTAAGCGTTCCTCAAGGAGAAGTGGCAAAGGTAGTAGAAGAACTGGCTGGCTAACGAACCTCTCTTCCCAGCCTACTCACCCCAGCTTTAACCAAAACTACTACTTATTTCATTTGCAAATAGGTTTCTGCCATATTATAATAAAAAAAATCTACATGATTCAATATACTCATACTCTGTTCACAGCCTGTATCTTAACCTTACATTGTTTCCTGACCCTATTTCTGTATTGTTTGGACCTGTCTCCTGTCTCTCCTGTTTTTTCACCCTTTCCACCTGGTGCCTGATACTGCTTCTTTGAACCATGCTTCCTCACCTAAAATCCCCTGTTTAACTATGATTATACTCAATCTTTGGATAAAGTCTGTTTCCAGCTACTCTGGATAATAATATAGGTGGTCCCAGTTCAACCTCTAGGTCCCAACACTGGCACACAAGTTCAACACTACCTCTCAGGAGGAAATAAAGGAGGACCCGGGGAATCAATGCTAAGAGAGATACAGTTGTCACTCACACTCGAGTTCTTGTACTACCTGTGTAGACTATGAACTCCTTGAGGGAGGAAGTGAATCTTAGAAATAAAATAAAGGCTACTATTTATTGGCATGTAGATGTAGTTTTAGAAGCTACAGATTCAGTGCAGACAACACAAAGCCTTCATTTTCAGGAAGTATATATGCCAGTAGATAAACAATAAATAAAAGGATACATGATATGCTAGGTAATGAAAAGAATAAAGCAGGGTAAGGGACAGAAAAAGGATGCTACTTTATGCAGGGCAGTCAAGGAAGGCCTCACTGAGGCAACATTTGACCAGAGACCTAAAGGAACTGAGAGATCAAGCCATGAGGAATCTGGGAGAAGAGTGTTCCAGGTAGAGGGAACAACAAACACAAAGGCCCTATGGTAGGAATGTGCCTAGTGAGTGTGAGAAAATCAAAGAGGCCAGGGTAGCTAGAGCAGAGTGAACAAGAGGAGAGTGAGAGGAGGTGAGACCAGAGAGGTAGCAAGACCACATCTTCTGGCTTTGGGGCATTCTAAGAACTTTGGATTTCAGCCAGGAATTCAAAATAATCAATCCCTTAAAAAAATAAATGAATCAATGGAGTTTAGCTTTCACAAAAGCAATACGTGATAAAGAAGAACAAAATCTCATCTGCATGTCTAATCTAAAAATAGAATTGTTGGTGCAGTCCCAAGATGGCGGCCACCATGAAGAAGGCGGAGAAAACATAACAGGCATGCCGCTGAGTGAGAGTGAAATATCAGAGGGCTAGCCCTTTGAATTTAATAAAGGCTGCAGAAGATGTCAATGTTACTTTCGAAGATCAACAAAAGATAAACAAATTTGCACGGAATACGAGTAGAATCACAGAGCTGAAGAAAGAAATAGAAGTAAAAAAGAAACAACTCCAAAATTTAGAAGATGCTTGTGATGACATCATGCTTGCAGATGATGACCGTTTAATGATACCTTACCAAATTGGTGATGTTTTCATTAGCCATTCTCAAGAAGAAACACAAGAAATGTTAGAAGAAGCGAAGAAAAATTTGCAAGAAGAAATTGACGCCTTAGAATCCAGAGTGGAATCAATTCAGTGGGTGTTGGCAGATTTGAAAGTTCAGTTATATGCAAAATTTGGGAGCAACATAAACCTTGAAGCTGATGAAAGTTAAACATTTTATAATACTTTTTTTAATTTGTTTAATAAACTTGAATATTGTTTAAAAAATAAAAATAAAAAAATAAAAATAGAATTGTCAACAATTCAGGATCACTATGCCTTACTTAGAATCAAAACATCTTTGTTTTATAAGAAATCTCTGCAGTTACCTAGTCTAGGCTCTCAGCTTTACTAATGTGGAAAGTGAGCCCTAGAGAGGTTGTATGGCCAGCCCACTGAACGGCGGACCTATGGCTAGAACACAGGCTTCCTGGTTTCCTACCCAGTGCTCTTCACTGGCCCCTGCTGCCGCTGGACACACAGCTGGGCTGCTTACAGGGGTCTTGGTTACCTGTGTGGTAGCTTCCCCTGTCCTCTGTAACCTTTATAAATCAGTAGGAGAATAGCTGCCACTATGAGGTATTTCCAGTCCCATCTGTACACCCAAAGCCTGTCATTACAAACCCCCACAATTCTAGTTTTTCAGTCCCCACAGAGTTGAAGACAACCAGGCAGGTAAGGTGAAGGCATGCCAGGCACTGCCCCAGGTACTGTGAGGGACATTTTTGTTGGTTTTGCCTGTCCCACATCCCTTACTCCCTAACTCCCAAACACAGCACTCCCTTTTCCATGGTTCTGGTGGGGCTGCAATCATAGTATCCAAGCCACCTATTGGCCACAGATTGGGGTGGACATAAGACCTGATGGGCTGAGGAACCTTATGGCTCTGGCCATAAGGACTACTGTAAGAGAGAGCCCAGGATCTAAGCAAAACCAACTAGAGTCCTTTCCTGGGGTTTTATGGATAAGAGCCAGAGAAAGAAGCTCTATCCCTGGATTTCCCAGTTACGCAAGCTAAGGCATTCCCATTTTGCTGAAGTTAGTTTACACTGGGTTACTATTACTTGCAACCAAAAGGATTCAGACTCATGCAGACCTGCATACCTTTTCTTAATTCATCTGCCTTTATAAGTTGCTATAACTCAGTGTATTTTAGACGTAAGGAATGAAATCAAGTAGCTTGCCCAAGTTCATACAGCAAGAGGCTTTCAAACGCAAGTCTTTCTGCCCCAAGTTCCATTCAGTGTTCAGTTATGAATTCAGTATAAACTCAAGAAGAAGAAATTCATCACTATTCAAAAGCCGAAGAACTTTTGGTTTAAAAATTGTAAGATGAATGGCTGAATGGATAAAGAAAATGTGGTGTATATATATATATATACACACACACAATGCAATACTATTCGGCCATAAAAAAGAATGAAGTCATGTCTTTTGCAGCAACATGGGTGGAACTGAAGGTCATTATCTTAAGTGAAACAAGCCCAGGTACAGAAAGTCAAACATCACATGTTCTCACTCATACATGGGTGGTAAGAAATGTGTACATGTGGATGTAGACAGTGGAATGATAGGCAATGGGCACTCAGAAGGGTGAGCAGGTGGGGGGAGGGGTGAGATGATGATGATGATGAGATGAGGTGATGATGAGAAATTAGTTAATGGTACAATATGTGTTATTTGGGTGATGGGTACCCTAAAAGCCCTGACTTAACCACTATACAATCTATGCATATAACAAAACTGCATGTGTACCCCATAAATATGTACAAATAATAGGAGGATATGGGAGGGAACAGCATTAAACTGGGTCAAAGGACCTGGCTTCTACCTCTGGATCTGCCCTATGACCTCAACTGCTATGACTTTGGGCAGGTCATTTCATCTATTTGGGTGTTAGTTTTCCCACCTATTAACAAGAAGAACTCAAGGTCCTTTTAAGTGGTATAAAAAAAAAAATCCATGGTTCTGCTTTAGGTAATAGAGATTTTATTTTTACTATATGTCAGGTAGGATGGCAAATAGATTTTAACCTGACTGTCAAGCCCAACGATTGGTAATGGCTCCCGGGGTACAAGGTTACAAAGAATTCTGAGCCACAGGGATCCATAGGAAATCAGCACTGGCTTCCATGGTCACAGGGAGGAGGAGAGAGGAAGAGCTATATACTTGCCACATATTTGCCATCATGGATAAAGTTTCACCGTGACACAGAAATGCTACTGTTTTTTACAAGTGCAGGCAGTACTTCTGCTCCACCACTGACGCCATCTATACATGCACAGGATTTTCACTCATTCCTTCGTGCACTTACTCAGCTCCCCTTTACAAGTAAGGAATGAAAGTACAAGAAAGCAAAGTGGTTTGGAGACTATCGCTTGGTGCCACTGAAGAAAATATGTCTAAATGGCCTACAGGGAGAGGGGAGAGGTAGTGAAGGGGAACACTAATCATCAGTATTGTTACTTATGTCTCATAAGATTCTAACAATTAGCTTGTGAGTTAAGTAGGGTATTAGCATGTCCATTTTATAGAAATGGAAAATGCAACTCAGGTAAGAGGACCTGCCCAAGTTCACCCATTTCTAAGTAGCAGAATCCAGATTTGAATCCAAGTCCTGGTTCTCTTTCCAATTCCATGGTCCTCAGTCCCACACTTCAAATGAGTTAACTAATCAAGCTCCCATTGCAAAGTGGCATATTCATCATTATTTGGAATTATTTATATAATACAAGTTCCTCCCCCAAAAATCTGAAATGTCATTACCGTGCATTTATAATTTAATAGGTAGACATGCATTATAAATTTAACAAAATTGAGCATAAAAGTTAAATATTTAAAAGAATGATGCAGAAGAAACCAGGCCAGGGGACAGGGATCTAGTTTCAACACAATTCTATTACACTTGATAGAACCTCTACAACAATTCAGTGAGATAGAAATCTGGTATCAGGCGTACATTTGAGGAATAGAATGGAAGAATGGGAATTGAGCCAGGTAAAATGCATCCTAGAAATGACAGCAAATGCTACCAGGAAGGAACTTATCAAAAGACATTACTGTAACTTGCTACATTTCCTTGGGTCTGACAACCAGGGATAAACCTGAATTAGAATATGTGCTTCTAGTATTGACTAGATTTTTATGTATAAGAAATCCAGGCCAAACAAAATAACGGCCAGACCTTTGACACATCTGATTATAGTAAAAGCATGGGACACCTATCACTAGCGCTTCCTCTAGCTAAATTTTCCACAAGAGGAAGAATGGGGAATGACTGCAAGACAGGATATAGTACACAAAGCAACTGCAACATAAAATCAAAATTCCTCAAAGAACGCATGTTTTCCCTATGTCAAGGGGGGCAGGGAGCCTAAGCAACACAGATGGTGTCCTTACTTAATAGAATCACCAAGCCTCCCTACATCACACCTACCCACATCATTAAATAGGAGAATTGGAACTTTTACTGACATGAATTTGCACCCTCCAACAAATGCACAAAGTTCTTCTCATACATCGCTGACAAGCAGTCATCCCTCTATTTAATCACCTCCAGTGACAGGGAACTCAGAACCCCATGGGACTGTTATTGTCCCTGAGGCCCATTAACTCAAAAACCTGGGAGAAGCTCAAGTGATCATAGGGCTCTCCAAAGAACTTGCCAACCCAACCGTGCTTCTTGTCTCTACCATTCCCAAATCCCCTATCCCTGAGCAGGACGCAAAATTAGCACAGTGTTAAAAAGTCAGTGATTTCAGAGTTGGAAAGGGCCCTCCAAAACCCCAAACTGTGATCTTCACACAGTTCTAAAAAATGTACCTCAAGAACTGCTTGTGCCAAACTAGGGTTATAGGGAGGGAGAATGTCCTGTTTCCCTTCCTCTCATTTCAACGGAGAAGATCCTGCTTTGATCTTCTATATATGGAGGATCAATGCAGTTTTTAAAAAGCCTTGCGTTTGAGAAAATAAAAAGGGGAGGAGACCATTTACAGGTAAATAAAGTGAGGTCATAAAACTTGCTTAAGAACATGGTATGGCTAATAGCTGCAGGGCTATTTCTCCGGTGCTTTCTCTACCATATAACATCCAAAGGCCTGAGAGGCAAGGTTCAAATTTCGAATAGTGATACACAAGGCCCTTCAAGATCTTCCCTGTCTGCCACTCTAGTCCAGGTTTTCTCAGTGTTCTGCATTCCAGTCACATTCAAATATTTATTGAACCAACTCTTTCATTTTATTTTATTTATTTTTTATTTCAGCATATTACAGGGGTACAAATGTTTAGGTTACATATATTGGCCTTTGCCCCGCCCGATATTGAACCAACTCTTGTCAGACAGTTTTCCACGCCTTTGTGCATATCTTCTCTTAGCCTGAGAAGCCTTTCCCCATCTTGTCTGCACTGGAACCAACTAATCCTCTTTCAAGACATGTTTCCAGTATCATCACCTTCATAAAGCCTTTCCTGACCCTCAGGTAGAACTGACCACATTCTCCTTTGTGCCCAACATACCTACAAGGCTTTATGGTACTTGTTTATCTGTTTGAATGTCTGTCTCATCCACCACGTTTGCATCGTGTTACTCTAACACAGTGCTGGTCGGGAAGCAGGTGCTGAATAGGTGTTTATTTATGAACAGAACGCATTCATCTGGTCCAATTCCCCTTCTGATGCTTGAACATCCTCTGCAAACTGCCACACATTAATTCACGAATACATACATTCATTCAAAAATACCTGAGTGTCTACACAGTGCCAGGCATTGGATTGTAGGCCAAGCAGAGGTGGATTTACTGTGAAATTAAGGAAATTTACTTAAGCTTCAGGGTTCCTCACTTGCACCTTCCAAAGCTCTGAACCTTTTTTCGTGATTTTCTATTTCTTAAAGAGGGCAGGCAGAACTACATAAGCTTTAGGCCCCTCAATAACCGGGTCTACCCTTGGTGCCAAGGATACGAAAGGGAACAAGACAAACATCTCTCCCTTTATGGAGTTTCCTGTCTAGTGGGGAAGACAATCATTTGTTCATTCATTCATTCCACAAACATTTACTACGCAATTGCTGTGAGCAATGCATTCTAAGATGAAGACAACACTGTTCCTGCCCTTAAGGAAAAGGTTCCAGCTCTCAGGGAGATAACAAAGGCCTGCTGTGTTTAGGGAAGAGAAAGTAGTTTAGATGACTGTAACACCCAGTGTTCGTGAAAGATTGTCCTAAACCAGTCTCAAGAGGTACTGAGTCCTACTTATATTGCCAGAGACAAAAGGAAAGGAGAGTTCAGCTGAATGTGGCTATTGATCTCAACTTGGGGGGAAGGAGTGGCAGACAAGTAAACTGAAAAGGCAAATGCAGTGTGGTCAGAGCTGCGACAGAAAGCAAAGGACTGTGGGGAAGTTTCCCCTGCGTTCAAGTCTGCAGGGACGGCTAAGTCATTTCCCTCACAAAATAGCCCGTGAACTTTGCAGATAAGAGATTTCCGAGAGCCTCCTCCCCATCCCCCAGAAGAAATCTGCTTCCTAGAGTTCCCCGACGTGCGTCTCCCTTCCTCAAAATAACGCTGTTCCTTTCCCAAGGCAGCTGTCGGCTCTCCGAGGTCAACTCTCCTGTCCCCCTTGGGACCACTTCCTTCACACAATGCTCACGGAACAGGGTTTGCTTTGGGGTCAGGGGTCCGTCCCTGTCGCGGGTCCGCCCCCACCCTCTAGCCCGCCGCCGTTTCCATAGCAACCAGCTCACCACTTCGCGTGCCCGGCTGGAGAAGTCGCCCTTGGGCCGGGGGCTCCGGCGGAACAGCTCATCGCGGCTGCCATCGACACCGCCGCCCACCGCCACTCCTAGCGCTTTGTTCCGCGTCTTCACGGTCTTGACGCTGGCCCGGAACAGCAGCGTGATGTCCACCGCCATAGCGACCCGCACCCGCAGCCCCACACCCGGCCGGCGCACGTCAGCAGCCGGCGACAGCGGCGTGAACCGGACCCTGGAGGACTGTTCCTGTTCCGCGCGCTTCCCCGCAGCAACGGCGACGCGAGAAGAAAGGTTCCGGCGTCAGCCGGCGCGCGCGGCAGATTTGGGACCCCGCGACGCGACACGCTGGGCGCCCCTTTCTCCAGCACACCTCTGCGGGCTTGGCCGCGCGGAGAACTCTCCAAGCTCCCGTGCGCTGGTTTGGGGCGCGTGGGCTCCGGGGGCGTGAGAATCGGGAACCCGGAAGGCTCGTTCCCTTCTCGTGGCCCCCTCGCTCGCTGAGCCGGGGTGGTGTGGTTGCGGGGGACGCGGAGGTGTACCACCCTTGACCTTTGACTTCCAGGGCTCACCTTGAGCAGGACAGACGCACGTGGGCTGTGACCATCTGGATGCAATAAGTGCTAGGACACAGTGGGTGTGCGAGGCACAGAGATAAGAGGCCAGAAGCCTTTATTCTCCAACCTTCAGCCACCTCTTCTGTAAAGTGAAGCCAGCACCTTCCTCGGAATTTATCGTGAACGTTAGATGACGCGTGTAAAGTGTTTTGCTTGGCTCCTAATAAGTGGCCAATAAATGTTAGTTACGGATATTATTATTATCATCACTGTTATTATTTATGGTAGGGAAGAGGCTCTATAGAAATTTGAAGCATAGAGATCTGAGCAGAGATTTGAAGGATGGGTAGGAATTTGTCAAATGGAGACAAAGGTGAAAGTTCTAAAGCCGCTGGATTCTGTTCATCCTCGATGTATAGTTTTTAAATGTTCCGTCTTGCATCGTAGTTATTTAAATTGACTACAAGTCAGCCAATGAGTTTTTTTCCTCCATTTTTGGTTCATGGTTAGTTTTAGTTCAGGATTTCATTAATTTCATCAAATTTGTTTTTTTTTTCTTAAAGAGGATGCATCACTAGAATGTATATTAAAATGGCGGTTTTAATAGTCACCAACATAAAAAAAAATTCGTAATAATACTAAGACGCTATTTACCTTTTCACTCTCATTTTCTCATGAGTTGTGTATGGTGGAATTTCTAGAGACTGATAATTTCAACAGACTGAATGCAGAAAAGCTGTTTTCTATTAAGCCAGACTTTAAGGAGATTTGCAAAAATGCAAAGTTTTTGTTTTAATTTCAGATATGGTAAACATAGATTGATAAAGCCCATATAAGAAAATTTGTTTAGGCCCTGAATTGTTTTTAAGAGTGCAAAGGAGTTCTGAGACCAAAAGTTTGAGAACCACTATATTAAAGAAAAAAGTTTATCAGAAATAGATGTCAAGAAAGTATGTATTTACCAGAAAGGAGGAAGGAAAAGATTATTTAAAACCCAAACTGTAGCCACGTCATCCTTCCTGTACAAGGAAAATAAATTTCCATACAGCTTTCTTCCACCTACAGAGGGAAAGAGAAAGAGAAATAAAGAAATTGCAAAATCTTTGCCAAAGATTCTGTCTTGCATAAATGGTCCTTTGTTTTATCCAGACATTAATGAGTCTTTGGCTATGCAAAGGTAAAGGCTGGGGTGGGTATTATTCTCTGCATAATAAAGCCAGGGGGGTTGAATTAGGAGAAAGGGATGGGGGGAGCCAAAACCCAGGACTGGGAAAGTAGAAGTTAAGTAATTGGGAAGAGTTTTTGAGTGGTAGGGAGGCTAAGCTACACCAAACCTTCAGTGAGTGGTGCCTTGTGTTTGGCACACCAACGCAAACACCACTCACTGGTTTTTTTGGTTGGTTTTTTTTGGATACAAAGGTAGGTAGGGACAAAGATCTAAGTTTTCTGTCTGGATCTGCAAGAGCAGAGAAGATTGTGGCAAAGAGCTCAAAATAATCAGTCAGTAAAGCCACAAGTACATACAATTCCTAGAAAAGTCACAAAGATCTTGAGGAAGCTGCTGGACTTCCTACAGACCATGGGATATGGGATTGCGCCTTTTTATTTTGTTTGTTTTTATTCTTTTAATCTCAGAAAGCAAAGTGACTTCAGGACAGTGGACTAATGTATGAAACCCTGCAGAGCTGAGAGGGGATGTGAATAGAAAGGAGGAACAGCAATGTCGCGGGATGGCACTACAAACTGCCCAGTTGGGTGCAGTACACAAATTATGTTTTCTTTATTCATTCAACAAACATTTCATTGGACCAAACACTGTTCTGAAAAATATACAGTTGACCCTTGAGCAACACAGGTTTGACCTGCATAAGGCCACTTCTATGCAGATTTTCTTCTGCCTCTGCCACCCCTGAGACAGACAGCAGACCAACACCTTCTCTTCATCCTCCTCCTCCACCTGCTCAGCGTGAAGACGGTGAGGATGAAGGCTTTTATGATGGTCTACTGCCACTTCATGAATAGTAAATATAGTTTCTCTTCCTCATAATTTTCTTAACATTTTCTTTCTCTAGCTTACTTTATTATGAGAATACAGCATATACATGTAACATACAAAATATGTGTTAGTCAGTCAGCTATTACCAGTAAGGCTTCCAGTCACCAGTAAGCTATTAGTAATTAAGTTTTTAGAGAGTCAAAAGTTATACATGGATTTTTGGCTGCGCAGGGGATCAGCACACCTAACCCCCACATTGTTCAAGGATCAGCTGTATTGAAATCTCCAAATACAGCTGCATACAACAGCAATCCCCATGCAAGCAGGACAGGTGTGGGCAGTTCAGAATCATTTGGGGACTCTTTCATGAAAGTCATTAAATACAGGCTCCCTCAAAAAAAAAGTGAATTGCTCATCCAGATGCCCAACCCATGATGGATGTGATCTGTGAGGGAGAAATAGACCCCTGTGGTTATCAGGCACTGAGATTTTGTCATTGTCTCATCCCTTGGAGGGGTTGGTTTTATAGCCCTGCTGTCTGGGGAAAGATGGCATGAGCAGGTATTAACCATATGGAGGGTTTCCAGTGCCTGGAAAAGAATTCTCATGGGCTGGGGGAACCAGAGTTTTCTGGATCCATGGAGTCATGGACTCACCGTAATAAAAAGTAACTGGAGACCCTCTGAGGTAGTGTTTATTGTTCACTCATATCCAGGGTCCCTCTCCCCAGGAGAGGATTATAGTTTCTTGACCTATTGACCACTAACTTGGCCAGGTGATTCTCTTTAGCCAATGAAAACTGACACGTGATTTCTGGGCAGCAAATTTAAGAGCTAACATGTGATCCACCCTGCTCTTGTCCCTCTGCCATGATGACCCACAATGTTTCAATGTCCCATCAGCCTGGGTCCTGGGGTTAAGATTGCATGGAACATACCCAGCCAAGGACATGTGCTAGCAGTGAGGAGTCAGCCCTTGCTGTTCTTGTCCATGGAGGTTTGTGAGGTTTTGTTAACTGTAACATAATTAGCCTGACCTCACTGATACAAATTATGTCCAGGTATCTGCTAAAACAAGAATATTGAATTCTTCACTTACCATCATTATAGTATTATTTATCAGTAAGTAAAGGATGGAGAGGAAGGAATGGCTATAGTATGCCTAAACCTAACCAGTGGAGAAGACCTGGCTGGCAGTGTCAGAGTGACAGAAACTTTGGGAGATTGTGACCATGCTATGGTAGAATTCATAATGCACAAGGAAAGGCCTTAAAAAACAGATACCTTCACATTAGGAAGTAGACTTAAGGAAATCCATTGAAAACAACTTTTTTCTCAGGGACTCTAGAAAGGACCATGACTCTAGGGATGAGAGACTCAAAGAAGAAACTTTTGTTCCTAAGACGGAACCTAGCTAGAGAAATCAGGGTGAGTTTCTCCGGGGAGCTCTTGCATGAGTTTAGCTTTGAAATGGATGTGCAGAAGAAAAGGGGGGAAAGGTAAGATCATCGTGGTCCAGCCTTTGAGGTGCTGCCTTTGTCCCTCCACTACTCGCCAAAGAGCACATAGAGGAAGAGCTGCCACCTCCTCATTCTTACCTCATTGTCATCTTGGGTCTTGAGCTCCTTGCCCTGGCTTTGTTTGCATTAAGGTACATCCTAAAAGGTATGTCTATATCTTGATTCCTAGAACCTGTGAACATGACCTTACTTGGAAAAAGGGTCTTCAAAGATATAATTAAGTTAAGGACCTTGAGATAAGGTGGTGATTTGGGATTATCCAGGTGAGGCCTTAATCCAGTAGCAAGAATCCTTATAAGGGATACACAGGAAAGGCCATGTGAAGACAGAAGCAGATACTGGAGACATGCAGCCACGAGCCCAGAGATGATGCAGCCGCCAGAAGGGCTCTCCACTAAGCTTCTGGAGGGAGTGTGGCCCTGCCAGTGCCTTCATTTCAAATTTCTGTCCTCCAGAGCTTTGAGAAATAAATTTCTGTTATTTTAAGTCACAAAGTGTGTGGTCACATGTTACTGCAACCATAGAAAACTAGTACACACCCGAACTCCTTTCCTTCCTTCATTACCTATTCTCCATTTTCTGGGCCTATGTCCTTCAGTTTTCTCCTCTCTTGGTCCTCAGGCACCGGGCACTCTTCCCTCCAGGTGAGCCACCTTCTGCTGCCTTGGGTGTATATCTTTCTTAAGAATAGTCAAATCCTGCAGCCGCCTCACCTGGCACTCTTCTTCTACTCCCCATCTCTTCTTTGATCTCCCCACCATCCTCCATCCTTAAGGAGTCACATCTAACCAGGCCCCCCTGTCCTGTAAGGAAGGCTGGAGACCAGGAGAAACTGAATCTGGCCAAAAAGGACACCAAAAAGGGCTCTTTTTCATCAGATTTGCAGCAAAGAGGATATCCAGTGGGCCAACATGTGGCAAAAGCTTCACTCTCAACGTATGACTCAGAGAAGGTAAAGATATTCCACTCTTGTTTCCAACTTCTCTGTTAAGGAGCTGTTTGAAAGCAGGAGGTGAGAGAGAGATTGTTTGGAGGTTCTGGCAGCAACTTGTAACATCTGGAGTGTCCATGTCCAAAAAGTGGTCCTTCTCAATCTGGAGAGGCGCTCCACTATGAGTAGGCCAAATATGTGGAGAGAGAGAGAGAGAAAGGGGACGCTTGCCCACACAGCCAC